CCTATTTTTATCTTTTTCATGCTTATCATCGACCCTCTTTTCTCTTTCTACATCCCTCCTCCTCTTTTTCCTATCCCCTTCTCTCCCATCATTATAACGATCAACCCTACCCTTGTATCTGTGCTCATCCTCCCTTCTATTAGGCACCTTCTCACCATCANTATTAGGCACCTTCTCATCATCATCTTCCTGTCTCCTCCTCTCCTTCCTATCATCCCTTTCATCTACATTCCTTCGACTCCTCTCCTTCCTATCATCCTTTACATCACCATCTTCACCTTCATGTCTTCTCCTCCTCTTCCTCCTATCATCCCCTTCATCATCATCATCAACAACTTGGCTTTCACTTTTTCTGCTCTCCTTCTTATCATCCTTTTCATCATCTTTCACCTTCCTTTGTCTCCTATCATCTCTTCCAGCGTCATCTTCGCGTTCATCTCTTCTTCTTCTCTCACTCCTAACAACCCTTTCATCCTCATCTACTCGTTCACTTTTTCTCCTCCTCTCACCATAAGCATCTCCATCATCGACACCTTCTCTGCGACTGCTACGACCATCGTCTCTTTCCGGAGGGTCCAATCCCTTCTTGAGAGCAACTTGTGAACCGGAAAGCTTTCTACCTGAATACCCACAATCATCATCGGAGTCAGCGTCCCTGGAATCACTTCCATCGTCAGAATATGAACTCTTCTGATGCCTCCTAGACGATGGAGGAGGGCGATTCCTTCCGCCCGTATTTGTTCTACCAGCAGCCTCCAAAAGCATATCAGTTAACTCTTCTTCCATGATCTTCTATTCCGCTCAGCTACTTGTCCAATAACAACTTCAAAAACTACATGGACAAAAAAAAGCAACTTTTTAGTTACTAATATTTTTGATAATTTAGACAAAATGAGAGCAATTTATAAAACACAATAATTGGTAGTTTGACAATAAACAGACCTAAAACAAAGGAAATATAAAACAATAAGTCTAAATCACCCAATTAAACCCTAAGGCTGTCTACAGAATACAAAAGAACAGGGAAATAAACTATGCTGATGAACCAAATAATTATCAATCCAGATCCATTCAACTCTATTAATCACTCAAAAATTCTAAAATCCAGCTCACTCGGCTATGTTGATTTCCTTTTAAACAACCTGAAGGAGTTCCAAAGTCACCATTCAGATTCACTAGCTTCTTTCACGGAGCAACTTCAAAGAATTCAGAAGGACTTTGAGAGCTTGCAACCTTTTTCTAGAGTATATTGCAGAAGGGCGACAGAATGACTCCGACAAAATTCATAGTTATGCTACACAATTGATTGGCAAATCATAGTTATCCGCTGCTCCATTGAGAATTAATGGAGCTAATTTCACTGGAATTAATCCTTTCCCGATGAAAGATTGGATAAACTGAAACCAACTGTGGCAAAGACACTCCTTTTACTGGGATATCACCGTCAGCGACATTGTAAGGTACTATAAGTCTAAATCACCCTAAGGCTGTCTACAGAATACAAAAGAACAGGGAAATACTATGATGATGAACCAAATAATTATCGATTCAGATCCATTCAACTCTATTAATCACTCAAAAATTCTAAAATTCAGCTCAATCAAGCCTAAAAATTTAGCATTAAAATAATTGCATAGAGAATAACTGAAGGGATAACAGCTACGGGATACATACAATTTGATACGGCCGGATTATGACGAGAACGTGAAGAAGTTCGCCGGAGGGAGATGAGAAGGAACAAATTAGGGCGAGAATGGTTGGCAAAAGCAGTAAGCGGTTCGGATTTAGGGTCCGTTTGTTTGTTTTTCGATTGAACTCATTAGAAGGAGTTTGGGCTTGGGGCAAAAGTTCATTATATTTTTAAAAAATAAAACCGATTAGGAATGGGATTTGGATATTTGGTATCCGTTAAGGGGCAGGAATGCTTGGACAACATTTTTGGAAAGCAGGCTTTTTGAATTTTCTTTTTTCTTTTTTGAGAAATATATATTTTTAGCCGCTTTCACAATTATATCTCAAAAATTATATCTCACAATATATATATATATATATA